AGTGTGACCATTACCCCTGCCGGGTCCCACCGGCGTGTGACCATTACCCCCGCCGGGCCCCGCCGCCGTGTGACCATTACCCCCGCCGGGTCCCACCGGCGTGTGACCATTACCCTTGCCGGGCCCCACCGCAGTGTGACCATTACCCCTGCCGGGTCCCACCGGCGTGTGACCATAACCCCCGCCGGGTCTCACGGCCTGCCTAGTCCCATGGCTGTGTGACTTCCCGCACCCCCGCCTGGTCCCATCGTCGTGTGACCACTACCCCTGCCGGGTCTCACGGCTTGCCTAGTTCCATGGCTGTGCGAACCCACACCGCCCAGCCGTCCGTCCAATCCCTCTATTATCAAAACAGGGATGTAGTTATACAGGATAGGGGTTGGACAGGGATGTAGTTATACAGGATAGGGGATGTAGTTATACAGGATAGGGGTTGGCCCTGTCCAGCCCCTATCCTGTATAACTACATCCCTGTCCAGCCTCTATCCTGCCTCACCACATAGCTGGTTGACTCTGCATGTGGTGACTTTAATCGCAACACTGGCTCACACGCAGCGATCACGGAAGAACAATAACAACTGCGCATGACAAGACGTCCTCTCATTCGTCGGTACCACTGCCACGCCACCTGGTGGCAGCTGTGGGGGGAATTTTAAACAGCAGCAGCGCGAGTACGGTTGTGATAGGACTCGGGTATTTTGCGACGAACCAATTTTACGCGTTTTTCGACGCCGAACTCATCATAACGATTGTTCGACGGTGAAGACGTCTGTTTTAAGCTGGGTTTACAATATCAACTTTCTGTTGAAATGTTGACGAGTTGATCAACTTTTCAACTAATCGAGCGAAAGTCGGCAGTGCGAAGTGACGCAATTGTTTAGCGCTCGACTAGTTGATGTCAACTAGTTGAGAGATTAGAACATGTTCTATTTTTTCAACTTTTGGTAAGCGAGTATTTGATTAACTTTTTGCCGCGCAGCCACTCAGACAACAGCAGTCAGGAGCCAGGAGGTGTGTCCCTCCACGCGGGGCGAGATTATTTTCGCGCGCGTTTCTGCTGTTGCCGCTACACCTGGCGCGAATTAATACATGCAAAAATGCCGACCCACGTCGCGCCGTGCCACGCACACTGCGGGTGAAATGTCGAAACGTTTGGCGACTCGCGGCAACGATAACGTAAAAACTATGAACTTCTCGTTAGAAAGGTTGATAGAACATTGAAAAGTTGATCAACTTTTTGATAGTGTAAACGCAGCTTTGCTGCCACACACTTCGCGTGTATGGTTGGCACTTTTCG